CCCCAGCTCCTACCCCCAAGCGGGCTACCCTCAGGGTCCCTACCCCCAAGGGGGCTACCCTCAGGGCCCCTACCCTCAAGGAGGCTACCCCCAAGGGCCTTACCCACAGAGCCCCTTCCCTCCCAACCCCTATGGACAACCACAGCCCTTCCAGTCACAGGACCCTGACTGTGAGTGATGGGGAAGGCTGGGGGGCAGGGGCAAGGGCAGAGCTGCTCTGCAGTGGCACTGACCCAGCCCCTGTGTCCCCAGCGCCACAGCTTGGAAACTATCAGGAGGAGGGGCCCCCATCCTACTATGACAACCAGGACTTCCCTTCTGCCAACTGGGACGACAAGAGCATCAGGCAGGCCTTCATCCGCAAGGTAGGGCCTTCTCTGTGGGGTAGGGAGCCCTGGGGTAGCTGGGGGTGGAGCTCTGACTTGCTACCTCCCCAGGTGTTCCTGGTGCTGACCCTGCAGCTGTCAGTGACCCTGTCCACAGTGGCTGTGTTCACTTTTGTTGGGGAAGTGAAGGGCTTCGTCCGGGAGAATGTTTGGACCTACTATGTCTCCTACGCCATCTTCTTCATCTCCTTGATTGTCCTCAGCTGTTGTGGGGACTTCCGGCGAAAGCATCCCTGGAACCTTGTGGCACTGGTAACCCCCAAACATGAGCCCAGGCCCCTGAGGCCTATGGAGAAGTGGAGGGCAGGGACCTGGGGTGTGGTTGGGAGCAGCTCTGCACACCCAGGGTGGGGTGTTGTCTTCTTCTCCCACAGTCAGTCTTGACCATCAGCCTGTCCTACATGGTGGGCATGATAGCCAGCTTCTATAACACCGAGGCGGTCATCATGGCTGTGGGCATCACCACAGCTGTGTGCTTCACAGTAGTCATCTTCTCCATGCAGGTGAGGACCTTCACCCATTCAGGGTTGCGGCCCTGGGGCCCATTGGCCTTCCCAGGGCCCAGCACCCACAGTCTCCTGTTCCTCTCTGTCCTCCCAGACCCGCTATGACTTCACCTCATGCATGGGCGTGCTCCTGGTGAGCATGGTGGTGCTCTTTATCTTCGCCATCCTCTGCATCTTCATCCGGAACCGCATCCTGGAGATCGTGTATGCCTCGCTGGGCGCTCTGCTCTTCACCTGTGTGAGTGAGGGGGTAAGAGGCCATGGTTGAGGGGAAACTGGGTGGGTGGGGGGCTGTCCCTCAGCAACACTGTGTTGTCGTCCTCAGTTCCTGGCAGTGGACACACAGCTGCTGCTGGGGAACAAGCAACTGTCCCTGAGCCCAGAGGAGTACGTGTTTGCAGCACTGAACCTATACACAGACATCATCAACATCTTCCTGTACATTCTCACCATCATTGGCCGCGCCAAGGAGTAGCCTGTTCCCCCAGCTTGCTGTGCCCTGCTCAGGTGGCATGGCTGGCCTGGACCCTGCCCCTGACATGACAAGGCCACCTGTACTTCCCTCTCTCTGGTCCCAGACACAGCCCAGGGCAGGGGGAATCCCCTCTCCAACCCTCCTGTATGTATACTGCAGATACTTCCGTTTGGACCCACTGTGGCCACAGCATGGCCCCTTTTAGCCCTCCAGCCCCACCCAAGGGGCAGTAGGGCTGCGTTTCTGTGCCACCTCCTGTTGACTCATTGTTGCATGAGCCCCGTCTTCCAGCCCACCCCAGGGTCTGGGGGCAACACCAGGTCCCAGGGGAGAGGGATTGAGCCAAGAGGTGAGGGTGCACGTCTTCCCTCCTGTCCAGCTCCCCAGCCTGGCATAGAATATTCCTTTTCCCTCCCCACCTCCACCTGGAGCATTGCTCTCAGGGACACACAGGTTGGGGGTCTCTGCTGAGCCCTGAGAGCAGAGAAGATGGCATGTTTCAGGAAAGGAGGAAGCCTTCCTCTCGTCCTGCTGTCATTAAAGTTCCAATAAATGGGATCTTCTGCTCTCTGCTTCTCATCTCTCTTCTCACTGCCAATTCCTCCGTGATGTGAGAGCTGCAGGCACCCTAGCTGATGAGGGGCACAGAAGAGGCCTTAACAGAGGTTTAGGATAGGAACTAACACAAGCTTTTAAGAAGTATACTGGGATTTCAGCTGATGAACAGAGACCCTGAGGCAAGGTGTGGTACCAGGTCACACAATGGGAAGTGCTTCTGGGAAGGATACACCTGGCAGAGAGCTACATGGAGACTGAGGCCTTGGCATCATCTGGCACCTGACCTGGTCCCTTCAAGAGCCCCCAGCCTCAGCCTGTTCTGCATGCCTCTCCCTGCTCTTACCCACCAACCCACCCTGAGCTGGGCTATGCATCCCAAGTGAGCCAGCTGTCCAGATCTGCACGATCCCCACAGAAGGTGGTTCAATGCCTGGAGTCCAACCCTGTCTGAACCCTACTGGGCTTCTGAGCTCTGGGGCTGAGGCACCCTTGGCCACTGTGGCCTTCCTCCTCAGACTACATCCAGGTTGGCAGGAGAATCTCTTCTTGGGGATATTCCTCCTCCCCACCAGCCTGTCTGCAAACTTGCTTAACTAGTACCAGTACTTCAGGTACATTAAGGGACCTACACACCATAAGCCACCCGATGTTCACAGAGCACACAGCTGTGTGCACCACACCAGAGCCATGTGCACCCTCCCTGAAACCTGCTGTTCCTGTATTATCTCCCCAGGCCAGAAGCTGCTGTCCTCCTCCTCCATCACTGCTCTCCCTACCAGCCTTCCACTGCTTTGTTCAGGCCTCTTCATGCCTACCAATCCTCCAAGCCAGCAGGTATATACTTCTGAGATGTGGATCACATAGTCCACCTGCCTAAGACTCTACCAGGGCCACCCTCAGGATGAAGTCCACATTCCTTAGCTTGGTACCTAGATCCTGCCTTCTGCCCACCTGCTCTCTGGCTCTCAGCTCAGTCCCAGCCCTGACCTTGTGCAGAACTGTCATTGTTCATAGCCCTCTGCCAAGGCATGGATGCACACTGCCTTTCCAGTTGCCAAGATGCAGCAGGTAAAGCAGCTCTCTTACCCAGCCTCCCTTTCTGGCATTCCCTTAAGCAAGTCCAGTTACTCCTCCAGGGATGCTGGTGAGAAGAAATCTGCTCAGTATTAGCTCACATACAGACCACTCAGATTACACTAAAGAGGAAATATAGATCATCCCTTGGCTAAAGAGAAAGTCAGTGGGGTAGGAGATCCTCTGAGCAAAACATGCAAGGCAGTATTCTCAAAAAGTTCAAACTTTTCAAATTCTTGGCTGGGGGAAGAGGTCTTTCTAGAAACCACTGGGAGTCTAGAGGTGTCCGCCAGGACTCGGGGGCCAGGCAATCCAGAACAAAGACTTTACTGTAAGAAGTTCAGGGTCAAAGAGGGAGTGCTTGGGCCTGTCCTGTAGGTAAGGAATGAGCCATAGCCTCCTCCAGGTTACCCAACTTGGGATGGTGTTCAGGAAGACAAGCCCAGAAATAGGATGTACAGGAAGTCTGGAGCTGAAGACAGGTGAAGAAAGCAAAGAGGAGGAGCTACAAGCAAATAATCTCAGAGGCATCAGGAGTCAGCTCAGCTGCAAAGGGATCAAGCTGAGCATGCAGGGCAAGGGGAGCAGGGGCAAAATAGAGACAATCAAGTGAAATAAGGAATCCAAGCACCTGGGCTGGGCAGACGAACAGGTAGAAGGTGCTCACATTGATGCATGAAGCTAAATGGAACCATAGCAATTGTCAACACAATGATTTCTCAGGTAAGAAAGAAAAGCAGTTCTCCACACCAAAGAGCTGGCCTGGTCCTATCTGCAAGGACATGGTGCTGTTAGAAGCTGAACTGGTACTCACAGATAGAGCCCTTAGTGCTGTTAGGAGCTGGCCTGGCACTCACAGATAGTGGCCTTGGTGTGGTGTTCTACTTAAAATATAAATAATTTCACAGAATATCAATAACACACAAGGCCTCTGTTACCATGACGAATCATGACAAAAATAAGATCCCTCTCATGTCTAAACACAGACAAAACATAGGCATTGTGCAAGCCGTACAAGTCTTAGAAGCACCCTAAGCTGGCCAGGCTGAGTGACTGCTACCCCCTCACAACTGACAGCTTTAGCTTCACTGCAGTTTATCTTTTAGATAAAGAGGTATTGAGACACCAGGTACAGAATGACTGAAACCTTCCTCCAGGTTACCCAACTTGGTCCTGTGGGACTTCCTGTAAGGAAGTCCTTTCTAACCCTAACCATGACTCCACATGGCTCTACGTAGTATACATTTGCCCTTGCCTCCGGGAGCAGTAAGTAGTCCAACTTGTTCAACTATAGGTGGATGCCCAAGTGGGGTTTCACTGGAAACTGTTGGCACAGTTAACTGTACTCAGGCCAAAGAAGGTGAGTTTATTTTTCAATTAAAAAAGCACTTATTGGGGCTGGGGTTGTGGTTCAGTGGTACAGCGCTTGCCAAGTATGCGTGAGGCACCGGGTTCAATCCCGGCACCATAAAAATAAAATAAAGTATTGTGTCTATCTACAACTAAAAATAAATATATTTTTTTAAAAAGCACTTTTTGGGCTGGGGTCAATGGTAGAATACTTGCCAGCACCTGTGAGGCACTGTGTTTGATCCTCAGCACCACATAAAATGTAAGTATTTTTTTAAAAAGCACTTATTTACATAAGTCATAATTAAATATTTTTTTTAAAAAAAAAGAATAAACAATACCAGTATCTAAGGAATACAATGTTCACATCTCCATCACATTTCCCACCCTCCTGAGCAATACTATCATTGGGAGCCTGGTGTTGTAGTGCACACCAGTAATCCCAGTAACTCAGGAGTCTGAGGCAAGAGGATCATAAATTCAAAGCCAGCCTCAGCAACTTAGCAAGGCCCTTGGCAACGTAGTGAGACTGCCTCAAAATTAAAAAAAAAAAAAAGGAGGGGGGTGGGGATCTTGCTCAATGGTTAAGCAACTCTAGGTTCAATTCCCAATATTAAAAAAAAAAAAAAAAAAAAGCCAGGCATGGTAGTGCATGCCTGTAATCCCAGTGGCTTAGGAGACTAAGGCAGGAGGATTGTGAGTTCAAAGCCAGCCTCAGCAAAGTGAGGCACTAAGCAACTCAGTGAGACCCTGTCTCTAAATAAAATACAAAATAGGGCTGGGGATGTGGCTAAGTCAGTGGTCTAGTGACCCTGAGTTCAATCCCCAGTACCAAAAAAAATAAAACACTGTGGGGCCAACTCTGGACCTTAGCTCCATGATATCAGTGCAGGTCCTCTTTGCCATTTCTCTGGCTCATCAGGGCTACTGTTCAGCATATGTGGATTGGAAGCATCTTCAGGATAAAGACTGTGATCTGTGAATTTCAACACCCACCTAGCACCTAGTCCCAGATCTGGCATACCACAATGTTAAACATGGAATGAATGAATGAACTTTACATGGGATGAGCCACACAAGCACCAACCAAATCAGGACCAGAGACAGAGAAGGCTACAGACTTCTGGACTTTGGCTTGGCATCACCACCAGTAGGGAGGCATCTCAGGATTAAGGGCAGCAAACTAAAAGCCTTAGGAGATGTGTGAGGCACACTGGTGGGAACTGGAGGTAGGAGGAGGAAAGGATGCATGGGGGAGGAACAGGTGGTTGAGTAGGTGAGTTGAGGGCAGATATGCACAGTCTAAGGCGTATTTTGCAGGTAATGATGAACCTGAAGTGGTCTAAGCAGAGGCAGGGAAATCAGTGAAGATTACGGTGATGGTATAAGCAGGAAGAACTTGCTCTCAGGGACAAGGGGGAGGTGGAAGCAGGGGATCTGATGCAGGCTCCCAAGGTGGCCCCTTCCTCAGTGTGACCCAGATGCTGCTTCCCATGCAGAAGTATGACTTGGCCTATTCTGAGACCAAAATACTTGACAGATGTTTCTTGACTGTCTACCTAGTCTCAGCACTGTAGAATATTGAACACCTTTCAGGAGGTCCCAAATGTAATGCCTCTTTTCCCTTTAACCTCTTGACGCACTTTGCTCCATTGTCCACATCTCCCCATTGGTGGGGAGCCACATTGAGTTCCCTCGCCTTCCATCATGGAAATCTGAAAGATCTTGTGACTCGGTCTTTTCCCCTGCTCGGATAGCAAGGCCAGTCTTCTGAGTGGGCATAACCCTGGGTATGAGCCACACTCACCTATTCTATTATAATCCTACCCCTTTGCCCTGTTTGGGATAGAATGTTCCATGGAAACTCCCTTTGTGTGTCCCCTTCTCTTGCTCTGCCTTTGGGTGTGGCCTTCCTAGATGTCAGTCAATCTGCTGACAGCAGACATCATGAAGCTAGACTCAACTCCCCCAAAACCTGACCCCTTGCCTCATTTGAATGGCTTCCCCCCAATAAAAAGGTTCAGCCCGTGCGCATGCGCTCTCTTTCTTTCCACGGATGCCTAAGGTCAGAGGAGCCATCACAGGACCCAAAGAAAAAGGTATCTCTGTCTCTTGTGTGATTATTTCATGCAGCCCAGTTCCCCTGGAGTGACCCTGAGTGTTTTAGTCCTGAGAAACGTGACACCCATTGCTACCACTTCCAAACCTTGAGACTCTTGTGCAACTCCTTCTTCATACTCTCCTTCATTCTACTCTGGCCAGCTTTTCACTGTTATCCAGAAGCTTCCTGGTTCTCGGAGGACTCTACTAATAGGATCAGAACCCTCCACTTTGTCCCAACTATCATGATCCTTGGGCATTCAAATTCTATCTTCTGAACACCTCTCAGATCTATGCCTTTCTCTCAAGTCAAGGCCCTGATCAATTCTATGGCAGCTCCTAATACCAAAGACAAAGGGATCTTTCTGAACTCAAGATAGTCACTCCCCTGTTTAAACTCCTTTGGAGACTGCAGACAAAACAGTGGACTAAACTGATCTGGGATTGCAACTCCCACTCTCAACATCTAAAATTGCTAGATAAAACATCCAAACACACATAGCTGAACTGCAGTCATGAAATAAATGTCAAAAGAGAGCAAAGAAGAGTGGCACATGCTTATAATCCCAGCTATTTGGGAGGCTGAGGCAGGGGGATTGAGAATTTGAAGCCAGTCTTGGCAATTTAGTAAAAAAAAATAGTGGCAGGGGAGTGGGGAGTGCTGGGAATATAGCTCAGTGATAGAGCATGGGCACAGCATGCATGAGGCCAGGAACTTTATTTCAGGAATTCAAGTAGATTTTGATATTCAAAAATCTACTTGTAACAATATTAACAGAAAAATGGGAGAATCATATGATCATTTTAAGAAAAAGCATTTGGTCAGTTCTACTACTCATCTGTGATAAAAGCAAAATACTCTTAACAAATTAGAAAGAGATAAGAATTTCCTTAATCCAACAAGAAATAGTCTATAAAATTCCTACAGCAAATATCATACTTAATGGCAAATTATTGACAGCTTTTTCCTTAAGACTGGAATGAGATAAGGGTATCTCCTATCACTCCTTCAAGTCAACATTATATTGAAGATCTTACCAGTGCAACAAGAAAAACAAAATGAGGTAAAGATTATCATAAATGTTATTAACAAAACAAACAGACACAACAAACTATATACAAGGGAAGATTGATTATATTGACAGATTCATCAACAATAAAAGCTGGATGAATTAAGGTATTCTTGTGCAACTCCTTCTTCATACTCTCCTTCATTCCACTCCATTTAATGGTATATATTTGTTTTTATAGTTAGTAATACATTAACATGGTTCAAGTTCAGGAAATATGAAAGATTGGGCCAAGCGTGGTGGCACACACCTGTAATCCCAGTGGCTTAGGAGGCTGAGGCAGGAGGATCAGAGTTCAAAGCCAGCCTCAGCAAAAGCAAAGCACTAAGCAACTCAGTGAGACCCTGTATCTAAAATATATAAAATAGGGCTAAGGTTGTGGCCCCTGAGTTCAACCCCTGGTATACCCTCCCCCCAAAAAAGAAAGAAAATATGAAAGATTTACTATGAAAAGACCCTCTTCTGCTGGGCACAGTGCCCCACACTTGTAATACCAATGACTCATTCGTAAAGCTGTCCCAGCCCAAGTACTAAATGCAGTCCCTGGAGCCTGGGAAGTCTTTAGTGAGGGCAGAGGAAAGTGGCAGATGACAGAAGGCCCTAGTTTAAGGAGTCTGAGGAGCTTTTATATCCAGTTCAGCCTTCCACTGAATGTGCAGGGTTGGGAGTGTAAGGTCACTACAGGTTGGACAGACTCACCTATGGAGCAGGGATAAATGACACCTACTCTTGGTTTGTCTTCAGGGTCAGATATAAGTTATCAGTGCTGAATGAACACCTGGTTATAATTAATGGACCTTCAAGACCCAGGCTCTTCACTTGCCTCCCCAGGACTGTAGAGGAAGAACTGCTGATTTTTGTTTTTGGGTTTTTTTTTTTTTTTTTGGTGATGGGGATTAGAACCCAGGGCCTTATGCATGCAAGGCAAGCACTCTACCAACTGAGCTATATCCCCAGCCCAGAAGAACTACTTTAATGTAAAAAGGTTCAAAGCCTATACTCACTCATTCTGATCAGATCACCAAGTTGAATCCCAGATATAGGGATTGGGCTGGGGATGAAGCTCTGTAGTAGAGTGCTTGACTACCATGCACAAGGCCCCTGGTTCAATCTCCAATACTGCACAAAGAAGAAGAAGAAAAACAAAGAACAGACATCAGGATTGGCACAGGATCAAAAGGCATGGAGGTTCCTAATGAAAATTGCTTTGGAAAGGTCTATTCTGATTCAACTGTGCTAAGGGTTAGGGAAAGGGAAAACTCACTCAGGATCAGGCTGTACCTGAGATAGCCCTGCCAATTCTGCCCCTGGCTATGGGGGCCAGGAGGGGAGTGACCACAGTACCAGGTCAGGCCCAGTGTCCCAGCATTAGAGGCACAGACTCGGGGTGGGGCAGGCTCATGTGGTGCATGGGACATAGGGTGTCAGGGATAGTATACAGGGAGGAACTGGCATCCATAAAGTTATAAAGTCCAAGAGGCCTGGACTTCACCCTGAAACAGAGGAGGCAAGGGAAGTGGGCAGAGCCAAGCAGTGTCCATGCATTTGCCAAGATTCACCAAGAGCCTTTGGATAGGCTGATAATGGGCTTGAGGGACCTAACCAAGGCTACTCTCCTGCAGCCTTAGGACTCACCAATCATATAATTTTTTGAATCAGAGGAGTTCCTTTCTCTACTCAAAAGCCCCCAAGCCCTTCCATTTCCCTGGGTGTAAAATTCATAGCTCTTATCCCAGCCTACAGACCCCTACTCCAACTTCTCTGACTTGCTCCTCCCCTTTCCCCACGATTCCCCTCCATCTCATGGGCCTCCTTGATGGTCTCAAAAACACACCAAGCCTGCTCACAAGCCCCAGGGCCTTTCCACTGTTGTCCCCTCTATTCAGAAAGGTTGGGGTTTTTTCTCAGTTCTCTGTATCTTCTTTCAGGTCTCCTTCAAAAGCATTGCCTTGACAGGGAGGCCTTCCCAATAACTTTAAACAAACAACATTCTCCCTTCTTGCTTCCCTCATTCCCAGTTTAACCCTCCTCATGCTACCTCCCTCAACACCAACATTTTTCTTAAGTTTTAAAAAAATATTTAATTTTTTAGTTGTAATTGGACACGATACCTTTGTTTTGTTTATTTACTTTTACGAGGTGCTGAGGATCAAACCCACGTACTAAGCACATGCTAAGCGAGTGATCTACCATTAAGCTACAACCCCCCCAGCCCCAATACCAACATTTATCAACCTTTTATCTGTCCATTGCCCGTCTTCCAACTTGAATGTTGGCTCCATGTCAGCAGGCCTTTGCTGTTATTTTTTTGTGTTTTGGTATCGGGGATTGAACTCAGAAGCATTCAAACACTGACCACATCCCTAGCCCTATTTTGTATTTTATTTACAGACAGGGTCTCACTGGGTTGCTTTTGCTGAGGCTGGCTTTGAACTGGAAATCCTCCTGCCTCAGCCTCCCAAGCCACTGAAATTACAGCTGTGTGCCCCAGCTTGCTGTGTTCTTTGTACCAATAAGGGATGGATCCTGCTGCATAGAAATAACCAAACACACAGTCCTCAGTGGCCACAAGACAACATTGCTGCCCCATGCTCCACAGGAATAAGCTGAGGTATCATTTAGTCATAAGTCACCAGAACAGGTACCCTAGTTCAGGCCTGTTAGATCCCAGGCCCACCTAACCACTATGCCTTTTTCTCTGTCCACAACCCAGATCTTGTGAGCATCTTCCAGGCAGGAAATGCCTGGATGTATTGGAAAGTTCCCGGCAATATAAACAGAGAGAGAGAGAGACAGAGACAGAGAGAGAGAGACAGAGAGACAGAGAGAGAGAGAGAGAGAGAGAGAGAGAGAGAGACAGAGCGCACATGGAGACTCACTCCCACATTCCTTGCTGTTCCCTCCTTGCTCTGTCCTCCAGGACCCACAATGTGCCTTGGGCTTAGCAGGCTTCCAAATCTACTGGTTGATGGGGAAATGTGCTTAACTTTACTCTGTGCCAGATAGTACCCCAATTGTTGTACGTGCATTACTTTACCTGATACATGACCATATGAGGAAAGAGAGAATTAAAGGCCAGGGCTGGAGTGACATGGCTCTGAGATTAGGGTTTTGGAGTATCCTATGGATCAAATGTGTAGCTCTAAAATTCATATATTGAAATCTTTACCCCCTCTTTTACTCAGCTTTTTCACTGGTGTGACCAAAAACCTGACAAGAACAATTAGAGGAGAGAAAGTTCATTTGGGGGGCTCACGGTTTCAGAGGTCTTAATCCATGGATAGCCAGCTCCATTGCTCTAGGCCCAAAGTGAGGCAGAACATCATGGCAGAAGAGTGTGGAGGAGGAAAATTTCTCAAAACATTACACAAGGAAGCAGAGTCTTCTTACCAGTGACAAATATATATCCTAAAGGCATACCTAATGACCCACCTCCTCCAGCCACACCCTACCTGCCTATAGTTACCATCCAGTTAATCCCTGTCAGAGGATCAGGTTAAGTCTCTCATAACCCAATCATTTTACCTCTGGACTTTCTTGCATTGTTTCACACATGAACTGCTGGGGGACACCTCACATCTAAACCGTAATACCCCAGTGTTATGGTATAGGAAGTAGGACCTTTAGGAAGTAATCAGGTGAAGAGTAGAGCCCTCATGAATGGGATTAGTGTCCTTTTTAGAAGACACCAGAAAGTTTGCTTCCTCCCTCTCTTTAAGTTCCACCATGTGAGAACACAAGAGCAGGCAGCCATCTGTACACCAGCAGCAGGCCCTCACCAGACACCAGATCTGTTGGCACCTTGACCTTGGGCTTTTCAGTCTCCAAAACTGTGATAAATAGAGGTCTGTTGTTTAAGTTGCCTATTCTTTAGTCCTTTGTTATAGGTCTGAACTGAGACAAAGTCGGAGGGTATAGAACCCCAACCACACCTCTAGCAGGGTATGACATCATCCTAGTGTCCCCTCACAGAGCCTCCATGCTACCCTTCGTGGTTTTCAACTCTAACTTAGATGCTAGTCTCCGAGCTCTGCCCCTCCTTGCTGCCCTTCAAACACTGCCTTATAAAAAGCAGGGCTGGGGATGTAGCTCAGTGGGAAAGAGCTTGCCTACCATGTGTCAGGCCATGGGTTCTACCCCCAGTACTGGGGGTGGGGGGAAGGCAAGGAGCCAACAACACAGGGAAGTTACCCAGGTTCCAAAGCCTGACAGAGCCCTCCTGTCTCTGTCTTGGCATTAGCTCCTGATCCTTTAGGAGCATAAATGGTTGAACCTGGGGTTGATGACCAAGGTCATACTCCCAGAAGTCTCTGTTTCTAGCCAAGCCCTCATAAACCTTTCCTCTGAGGCCCCTCTTCCCAGTCCTAGCTGGCAGGGTCTCAGGTAGACAAGCAGATGCCCCCAACTCCTGGGAGCAATCTGCCTTCCCAAGCCCTATAGACTCATCAAGAGGAAAATGGAGCCAGGTGTGGTGGCAAACACCTGAGATCCCAACAGCTCAGGAAGCTGAGACAGGAAGGAAGACTGAGTGCAAAACCAGGCTGCGCCATGGCAAGGCCCTTAGCAACTCAGTGAGACCCTGTCTCTAAATAAAACACAAAATAGGGCTGGGGATGTGCCTCAGTGGTCGAGTGCCCCTGAGCTCATTCCCCAGTATAACCCCGCCCCCCCCCAAAAAAAAGAGAAACGCAGAGACTTGTCCTCAGACACTCAGAAGGCCAGTTAGCATCTTGCCTGTTCTTACAGTCAACATAAGTTTTCAGCTTTTGTGGTGGAATTCTTTCAGAAAAAATAAAACAGGTTGAATGACAGTACATTTGTACACTTATTGAATATTTACTTTGTACCAAGACCTGTGCTGGGCTCTGGAACACAGAGGAAGATATGATGTGGGGCTGGGGCTGTAGCTCAGTGGTAGAGCATTTGCCTGGCATGTGTGAGGCACTGGGTTCAATCCTCAGCACCACATACAAATAAATAAATTAAATAAAGGCCCATTTACAACTAAAAAAATATTTTAAAAAAAGATATGATGTGGCCTTCATCCTCCTGGAATGTCACTGAATCTCTCCTCCAGGCAGAGTCTAGGTCCAATAGATCATGTCAAAATTATGTTCTCACCAGTTGTGGTGGTGCACACCTGTAATCCCAGCAGCTCAGGAGGCTGAGGCAGGAGGACTGTAGGTTCAAAGCCATCCTCAGCGATTTAGTGAGGCTGTAAGCAATCTAGTAAGACCCTGTCTCTAAATGAACTATAAAAAAGGACTGGGGATATTGCTCAGTGTTTAAGCACCCTTGGGTTCAATCCCCAATACCAAAAAACAAAACAAAACAAAAAATTATATTCTCTATTGGAGCTGTGCAGCAAAAGAGGACAACTAGAATCAAGAAGATGCTGCCTGCATCAAGTACTGACCTTGACGGTTGGGAAAACCTGGTTTTGTCCTTCTGTCCTTACCTGTTGCATGAGGCACTCTGCCTCATGGGTTGTTAGGATGGTGAAAACAGTGCCTTTGCATATAACAAGCACTCAGTAAATGTCAGCCATTGCTTTTTCATTATCTGAAGTATAAGTGAGGGGGTAGAAAGGAGTTGCCCAGATGTCCAGGACAACACTGGCAGTCAAGGGCCAGCTACATCTGTGGGAGTCCAGACTGGACAAATCCCTCTCCTTGTCAGCAACCAAGACGAAGCAAAGATCCTTCTGAAGGCCTTGCCAACTTGGAAGGCTGAGATGAATTAAAAAATTAAAAAAAAAAAAAAAGCAAATTTGAATGGGGACAAACTGCAAAAACCAATGACCCAAGACCAGAAAAAGTAGATCTGACTCAGTATAAGCAAGTGGGACAATACTGAGGTTTGTTAGTAGAAAGTTACTAAGGAAACTGTGAGGAATGTAAACCCTGAGTGGATCCTTGGAGGTTCCTATCACTCCTACAAATTCAACCTCCCTGTACTCAAGGGAAGTCCTGGCCCAGCTAGGTGCAGTAGCACATTCCTATAATCTCAGCAACTTGGGAGACTGAGGCACAAGGATCACAACTTCAAGGCCAGCCTCAGAAACTTAGCAAGACCCTCAGCAACTTAGCAAAACCCTGTCTCAAAATAAAAATAAAAAGGACTAGGGATGTAGCTCTATAGTGGTAAAAGCACCCCTGAGTTTAATCCCCAGAACCTCCCTGCCCCTGCCTCCCCAAAAAGAACCCCGGTTCGTTCCCAAGTGACTCTGTCCAAATGCCTACATGAGCTAGACTGAAGACAGAACAGGGAAGTCCAGTACCTCCCACTCCCCAGACTCTCACCCTAAAATGTATTATCCAAATGGATGTGGATAAACTTTGGGATGACTCCCTCACTCTTTAAACTTTTGCTGTTCCCTATCACAAATCAGACCCACAGATTAGGATACAAAAGGATATACCATAACAAAATTAATGACAAGAAAACTGGAATAAAGAGCAAATAAGATTAGAGAGAGGGGCTGGAGTTGTGGCTGAGGGGTAGAGCACTAGCCTAGCATGGGCGAGGCCCTGGATTCAATCCTCAGCACATAAAAATAAATAAATAAAGGCTGGGATTGTGGCTCAGAAGGAGAGCGCTCGCCTTGCATGCGTGAGGCACTGGGTTCAATCCTCAGCCTCACATAAGAATAAAATAAAGATACTGTGCTGATAGCAGGCCCGCCCTGGCCCCTGGGGACTCAACCCCCAGTTCTTTGTTATGCATGTCAATGTGGCCAGCTCACAAGGCCATGACGCGGGCTTGCGGTTCCCTGTTTATCTGCCTCGCACATATGTGTCTCTCGGGAACATCTTGACCTGTTCGAGCCTCCTGATAGGGGACGGTGACGTGAAGGTAACCCAAGGACGCAGTTATTACTCTCCCCTCCTCACTTTTGAGTAATTTCCCGCAGCTGTTAAAAAGATATATAAGGGGAACAAATCTGGCAATAAAGCGCGCACACGCTCCCTCCTGGATGAAGAACCTTGGTGTCCTGTGTATTTTTAACCCCGCCGTCCCTCGCCGGACTCGGCTCAGTTAGCCGGACGCGGCATACTGTATCCACCTATAACTAAAAAAATAAATTTAAAAAAAAATAATAATTAATTAAAGATATTGTGTCCAACTACAACTAAAAAATAAATATTAAAACAAAAGAGTAGAGAGCAGATAAATGTGAGACACGACAGGAGGTTGTAACTGAACATTTTGGGGGGAGTCTGGGAGTTTTTGGAGGACCTCCATTATACACTGCGACTCAGAAGAGGCTGGGGAAGGTAGAGGCATGGAGGCCAGGTAGAAGCCCCCACAGTCTTCCCTGGCACCAGGCTGCTAGAAAGGAAAGGTATGCTAAAGGAAGAATCTGCAACAGTTCTCTCTACATTCCCTTTAGCACAACCAAACCCCTGGGAAGGGTTGTGTGTGCCCCCATCTCTACCTTACCTTCCCACTAGCTTGCCAGACTTGTTGATCTGGAGTCGGCCAAATCACTCTGCCCAGACAGCACAAATGACTTCCAAGTCACCAGGGCAGATGCACTTTTCAGTCTCCTCTCATCTGGCCTCCCAGAGCTTTAGATAGTATTGCTGCTTCATAACCCTGAAATAGCCCCTGTGCGCGGCTTCCTCAGCCAGCTCTTCAGGTCCTCTGCCCACTTCATGGGCTTTTCCACCCTATGGGCTTTGCAGGCACTTGGGCCTAAGACCTGTTCTCTCTGCTTCATTACTGATTCATGTGACCTCATCCCCTTGCAAATCTTCAGCTGCATCTAGAAGTTGATAACTTCAAAATGTATCTTTCCAGCCACACAGCAGGTTCTACTCTGAGAACCTGGTGCACAGATCCCCAGCTCCTTCTCTGATCTCCATGATCAAACTTGACTCAGGATCTCTGCTCTGAACTTGGTCTTCCCCACTGCTGGGTTGGTATAACCAGTGTCTCCACTGCCCTTGCCAGTAGCTATAAGGCTATCCCTGCCTTCGCCCTCACCATCCCCAATTCCATTCCATCTAGTACCACTGTCCCTCTGCCTTGCCATTCTCTCATCTCCATTGTGGCACCAATTGCATTTAGACTGCTCTCATCACGTGCCTGGAGGACTGCAGTGGCATACCACTCCGCAGCTCTTTCCCTCCAGTCCATCCCCACACCCGCTTCCTTAAAACCCTTCCAGGATTTCTCAAGGCACTCAGGATGCAGATCAGCATCAGTCCTGTGGTGAGCTGCACTCCACCCTTCTCTGGCACATATGTCCTCTCTCCTTTGGCAGAGCACCCCCTAGGCCTCGCACAGGCTCTTCCCTCTGCTGGAAAGCTCTTCCCACACTGATATTCTCCCTCACCGCATCTCAACTGTCACCTCCTCAGGGAAGGCTGCCCTCATACAACTGCATCCAACTCACCCACTGTTCCCCCTCCGAGCACCAGTGCCACCTTTAGCAGCATTCATCACAAAGGTGACTCTACACCCACATGTGTTCATTGTGAATGTTCAGTTTATGTTCTGTAAGTTTGATCAGACAAGAACAATGCCTGTGATGACTGGCACTGATCCCAATTCCTAACACAACTGGTGATATACATGTTTTTGGAGGGAAAAAACACTGCTACAAAAAAAAAAAAAAAAAAAAAAAAGATGGTGTATCAATCAGAATCCTTTTATTTTAGGTCATTTATTTTAATTGGTCCATGCAATAGTGGAGGTTGGAAAGTCCAAAATCTGTAGGGCAGACTGGAAACATCTCAAGATAGAACTCTTTTTTTTAGTTGTAGATAGACACAATATCTTTATTTGTTTTTATTTAGTTTTTTTAATGTGGTGCTGAGGATTGAACCCAGTACCTCACACACACACGAGGCAATTGCTCCACCACTGAGCTACAACCCCAGCCCAAGATAGAACTCTTTATTTCTGGGCTTAAAACTTTTGCTTTTAAGTCCTTCAACTGATTGGACGAGGTCCACCCATACAATTGAAAGTAACCTTTACTTAAAGCTAACATTTTGTAGATGTTAATTACATCTGCAAAACACCTTTATAAAATGTCTCAACTAGCATTTGACTAAACACCTGAGCACACAGCCTACCCAAACTGACACTCATGAAACCATTATAAACTGTATCAGCCTAAGGAGAAGCCAATTTTCATGACCAGAGATACTCTATCAAGTTAGAAAGAAGGAAAAGAATGCCTGGGGTCAGAGAGACTCAGCTGGAATTACACTCAGGAGTATCAGAGTACGGGGTAGGGCCCCCCCCATTGTGAGGTTCAGGTAGAATGCTCAACTCACACTGATGGCAGCACGGCTTCATCTCCCGCTTCTTCACTTCCACGACGTTCCAGGAGCCTGCTCACTGGCCTGTGCCTGTACCTCTTCCTGCCCCATGAAGAGGTTTGTCAAAAGACACCCATAGAGCCAGTGGAGATCATGAAGACACACCCTCCCTCAACTCCCAAGGTCAGATTCGTGGAGCTCTCTGTAGATAGTTCTAAGAGAAGGGATAGCTATAAGGAGGGCTCAGAGTCCTGAGTTCTTGAAACCAGGTAAGTAATACTGTTCTGTTTTGTTTTGTTTTGGGGGGGTTGGGTAGCACCAATTGAACTGAGGGGCTGTTAACCACTGAGTCACATCCCAGCCCTTTTTTGTATTTTATTTAGTGACAGAGTCTCACTGAGTTGCTTAAGGCCTCACTAAATTGCTGAAGCTGGCTTTAAACTCATGATCCTCCTGCCTCAGCCTCCTGAGCCTCTGGGATTACAGGCGTGTGCACTGCGTTTAGGGGTCTTGGGTTCTTAAACAACTAAAGTCAGGAAAATTCAAGGAGCTGGGGAGCAGAGAGTCAGATGTGGAGGAATTACCTCCAGGGATTTGGGATAAGAGTCCAGAAATGGAAACACCAAGCTGTAGGGAGCCAGTTACTTGGATGAGGGAGCCCCTAGGCCAGCATCCAGAGAAGGGTTCTGAGCACCTGGGGACAGAAGAAACTATGGGCCAATGTCCAGGCATCCAAGGCAGAGTATTCTCAGGTAGAGGCTGATGGGCTAAATCCAGGCATGCCCAAGATCATAAAGAAAGGTCATCTGCCCAGGAAGGCAAGGTGATGAGTTTTCATTTTACATTCATTGGTTATCTACCTACACTAAGCTGGGCCCTTTGCTGGATGCTGGGGACTCCAGAGGAGTGGCACAATCCCTGTTCACACCATAAAGCCAGTAAATATAGCATTAAGGAGCTAACAGCACAGAAGCAGGGCAGGTGCTATGATACAGGACACATCTGCTGGGGAAGCCCAGCAGGCAGCAATTAGCTTGCAGTGGGGGAAAGAAGGCTTTGCAGAGGAGGCATCTTGAGAGTGAAGCTGCCAAAAAGAAGGAGTCAGGACATTCCAGGTCAAGGTAGGGCCGTTCACAGGCCTGGCAGCACGGAAAGCTGAGCCTGTTAGAGTAGAGGACAGGAGGAGAGCACAACCTCTGACCTCACAATACCCAGGGCCCGCTGGGCCAGCCTTGCAGACTCTGGCACCCTCTTCCAGCCCGGGCAAGGCCCGGGGCCCTGGGCAGCCTCCAGGTGCAGTGCCCTCCTGTGGGCAGCACCCTCCCTGCTGCCCTGGGGCATGTCTCTACTCACCAATTATGAGGGGCTTCGGCATCAGATAGAGAGGCTGGTGCGGGAGAATGAGGAACTGAAGAAGCTTGTGCGGCTCATTCGGGAGAATCAGGAGCTCAAGTCTGCAATCAAGACTCAGGCAGGCGGCCTTAACATCAGTGGGCTCACCAGTGGGCTCGGAGAGATGGCAGCAAGTCCTTCTCAACGCCAGGGTAACTATAAGAGGCCTGGGTCCAAGGACAGTGGGAAGGAAATGGTGAGGCTGCTGAGTGAGGAGAGACTCAGTGTGCTTGGGGTCTCAGGAAACTATGGAGGGAAGGCACAGATAGTAACAAACTTGGGGACATTGGCCCTACTAAGTGAAGGAAGGGAGTGTGAGCACACAGGACCATAGAAATGAAAAGGCAAAACTAGGTCCCCATTCTACTCACCTAAGAGTAGGCACTCCTTCCCTCAACCAAGCTTCCAAGCAGCACTGCAAGACATGAATTTCCCAGCTCTGGAATCCAACTGTGCTAGCCTGCTGGGTCCAGTATGTAATGAACCCTCGGCCTTCCCACCCTTGACCCCCAACTCTAGCCCTTAGCCTACCCCAACCCTCATCATTAGCACCCCATTACTGTCCAGTTAGAAATGGCCAGGAAGCACCTAACAACCCACATGTAGAAGCTTTGGAGAGGAAACAGGACTGAAGCCTGAGGGTGGAGCCTATTAGCATGGGGCTGGAAATGTACAGAGGAGGGTGAGACAGAAGAGCAAGTGAAGAAGGTGCAGGTGTTCGCAGCAAAGCAACTGAAGGGATGCTCCATGGGCTAAGCCTATGTGGAGACTGTGGTGGGGGTGGCGGGTACTCAGAGGCCAGGAGGCAATAGAGGCCACAGAACTGAGTGTGGTGACATGGAGGAGGGAGAGCTCAAAGAATGGAAAGCTATGAGCAAAAAATGCTTAGCACTGAAGATACCAGAGGGAGAATTTGGTGGTGGTGATGGGGGGTGGCCATAGGAGTCTGTGGCTAACAGCCTGTGTTGCTAGAGGTTACCAAGGTGGAAGCAGATGATAAAACATTGGTGGTTGTTACATTCACTTCCCTCCCTACAATATCCTTCCTGTCCTGGAGGAAGCTGTGTTCCTTCCTGTCCAATGTAGAATTTCCACATGCACTCAGAGCCCACTCACCCGTGCAGTGACCTTTGCTCTGTCCTGGGACTGTACCTTGCCCTCCCTACCTGGCACTCTCCTCTGTTCATCAGCAGACATGAACTCTTCCTCCTTCCCTGAGAGGAGGACTTTGATTTCTGTTCTCTGCCTATTTAAGCCTGTACAATTTGGCAACAGACTCCAAATGCTGCTGTTCTAGAAAGGCTGTGGGTGGCCTCCTAGGTGCCACATCCTTCTCCACCTCTGCATGACATTTGAGACTAATAACCCTCCTCTGAGGCCCTCTTCCTGAGTTCCCAAGCTGGGTCATTCAACCCCCGCCCTGATTCACCTCAATCCCTGTACTTCAGATGCTGCCAGCCTACCCACTGCACAGCTTCAACACTCCACTGGAAGTAAAGATCCCCTCGGAGGATCCTGCAGGCTAAACAAATCCCTAGAACTTGACTCACTCCAAACTAGACACACTTCTGAAAAGCTGGGCAAGTGCATCAAGACACAAAAGCCCTGCAGGTCTGCGGTCACTTCCCTGCAGTCTTACTCCCCTTCCTCCTACCACTGGGTTCCCTGCCATCCAGCTGGAATTTCATTTCTATAGGGACCACCCTACCCAGACCCCTCCTGTTTTAAATTTTGTACCATTAAGGACTATGAGACAACAGACAGGGTGACAAAAATTATATGCTTGGGAGAAGTACATTTAAGAAACCTCAGTTTAAGAAGCTAAACTCTAGTTTCTTACTTCCAGACTAAACAAGTAAGCCTTAGGTTTGATTCTAAAGGGAATCCTTCAGATCTTCCAAGCTTCGGGTTCAGGAAAGGCTTTCTGCAGGAAAGCAACCCAGAAAGAAGCATTCCAGAAGAAAGACCAGCTTGAAAAAAGGCCTGGTGCTAGAGGTTGCAGGAATAAGAACTAGATGAGTATGGTTAAAGGTCCGACCATGTAAGCATGCATGGTCTGAGAGTATGTGGTACTTAAGTTTTGTGGTGTGGGTGTATGAGTGACTGAGGTGTACAGGGTGTGAATATGTGAGTGTGTATGAATGTGTGTGGAAAATATGCAGGAGAACGTGACAGAATGTGGTGTGTGAGCTTTCAGAGTATGTTGTGAATGCATACACGCACAGGGTTATAAGCGTGTATATTTGTGAGCTACTGTATTACAGTGTGGGAATGTATGTGGTGTGGGCGTTCAAGTTCATATATGCCTCATCTCTGATAGTGTGAATGTGTATTGTTTATGTGAATTTATATGGCTGTTCATTTTGGGGAGTATGTGCATGGTATTTTATATGTGTTAGGAACCAGGAAGAGCTGAACAATGCAGTTAGAGAGGTGAGCAGGGGTCAGATCACCAAATACTGTGAATGACATGCTAAAGAGCTCGGACTTTCTCCTAAAGGCAATAAGCAGAAACTTGTGCTTTCTAATGGAGTAATCACATTTGTACTCAGAAAGATCATTCCAGTTGCTATGGAGAAATGGATTCTAGGGAAACAAGACCAAGGCAAGGAGACAGGTTAGACTCGGGCTGTTGCAATCACTTAGGTGGGAGATGATAGCATGAACTTCAAGATGAAGAGAAATCCATTCAAGTTATTAAGAAAACAGAAAACCTAACTGCTTGGATTTGAGGGAGGATAAAGAGAGCATCCAGAGTTTGTTGCTTTCCCAGCTAAGATGACTCGATAATGTATGATGTCACTTGCTGAGAATGCAGAACTTGCCATCCCTAGATCCAGCCAAGACAGATCCTTATAACTGCCTCAGGGCATCTTCCTCTAGCCACTTCCTTACCCTGCCTGGTTCCCAAACCCATTCCCATGATGAACCTTTTTCATGGGGTCATGAATCTTTTTCTTGATTCGCTTTCATGACCTCAATCTTCAATTCCTCTTTCTGGGTCAACCCTTCTTCTCCCTTGTGCTCTGGTTCAGGATTCTGATTCAACCCCATTCAAGAGTAACAGAGAAGGAAATGCAGCTTGGGAGGTATGAGCAGAGCTTGGACACAGGGACTTTGGGTGTTCAAAAGCATATGGCCCTTTGTACTGTAGGGCCAAACCCAGAAGGGAAGAGAAGTGCAGAATGAGGGTTGGGGTCAGGGAGTCAGCTTTCCCTAAGCTACCACATCCTGGCCCAGCACTCCAGAAAGCACAAGAATTCTAAATTCAAATATGACCTTCTGGGTTGTTAGAAAAGTTTATGTGTCTGAGTAAGAAACCATAACATAATTTATTTAGCTTGAGTGCTTTCAACTACTCCAAATGTGATATGTAGGCTTCCACTTGTGCTCCTGCCCATGGCCCTGAGAATGCTAGAGGTAAACCTTAAAAAAGCAAATGCATTTTAAAGGAAAACAATGAGCTGTATTTTTGACAAACTGATTTTATGACATCCACTTGAGACAGTGGTAATATGAGCCTGACGCTCAGAGAAGAGATCAACACAAAAGATTCAAGAGCTGGGCTGGGGCTGTAGCTCAGTAGTAGAGCACTTACCTATCATGTATGAGGCTCTAGGTTCAATCCCCAATACTGCAAAAACAAACAAACAAACAAACAAAAACCCCAAGAGTTGTTGATAATTGAAGCCATAAGAGGGAGTGAGACCACCTGGGAAGAGAGTATACAGCAAGGAGAAACTGAGGGGGCAACCCCTTTTGGATCCCTTCTCATCTTGTGGGAGCTCCATCTCTTTTCTTCTCACTTGAATAAAACCTACTCTTTTATGCTAAAGGAGGCAGCAGGGACTGAATGGCTCTGAGGAACAGTCTTGAATAAGGACAGACAGAGATATTGTCAAGGAAGCATTCAGAGAGGCAAAGGAAACTTCAAAAGTTTAATGCCATAGAAGAGACAGCTTCAGAGGGGACCAAGTGTCAACAGGGTAAAAGTCAAGAAGTCAAAAATAGTAAACAATGACTTGGCATCGTGACCTTGGTTAAAGTCATTTCAACCCCATTATAGTTGGGAAAAAGTCACACACAGTGAGGTAAAGAATAAGAAAATGGTGAGAAAAAAATGATGGTGGCACTTAAGGAAGTTTGGCTTTGGGGGACAGGGGAGCTGGAAGCTGGGTAGAGAGAGGGTAGCAGCGGGAGAGGGGCATGGGATATAGAGCTCAAGTTGGCAGAGATCTGAAGGAACCAGGAGAGAATGTTTGAAAACACACAAGAACAAAAGGGTATTTTACAGGAGATGCCCTTGACTGAAGGAACAGCATCTCTTCCACTGTCCTGGAAGAGAAGGAAGGGAAACATCAGTGTAAATGGTGGGAAGGGGAGCGTCAGGAGGTCAGGGACTGTGGGAACTGAGGATTTCTGGCTTCAGTGATCTCTGTAAAAAAAAAAAAAAGTCATTCTCTAAGACCACTGGTGGGGAAAGTCTGAAATAGAGTGAAGATGAAAAGAGGACTGGGAGGGGAACATGGGAAGTCGGTCTGACTACACAGTGGACTAAATGGCATTAGTTATCTATCAAGTCTACAAAGGCAGCAGACACCAACCTTGTACCTTCTACAGCATATGGGGGCAGCAGGCAGATGGAGTACTGAAGCCAGTCCAACCAGAGCGTAGGCACATTTCAGACTATGCTGTTGAGAGGAAGGTGGAGGTGAGGAAGGTTGTCACAGAGGAGTAAAAACAAAGAGGTCAGTGTACTAGAGATCTGGAACCAGATGGCTGGGAATCATTTTCCAAGCAAGCCAGAAGGTACAACTGTGTGGTCAGAGGGAGCAATCTGTGTGGCCAGAACTCAGTAAATGTTGGTTGTTGGCCAAATTAACTTCACCAAGAAGAAACAGGTGCCAAGAGTCTCAGATCTTGGCGGCCCACTCCTACCTGGGAGGTAAAGCCAGCACAGGAGTCTAGACTGTAGGCCGCCTGGGACTTGCTAAGAGGCCTGCACTGGGATGTCTCTGGGAGGCTGCTGAAGTATCAGAGGGAGAGAGGAAACGAGGTCCAAATGCTAGAACAGTGCGGAAAACCGGCTCCTGCCCACGCTGGTCAGATCTGGCTCCTCTGGGCAGGTGACAGGTGGTCTGAGTGGCACAAGCCAAGCGGGCCAGGCAGCAGTCAGCATGAAGAGGACAGAAAGGGTGGGGGCCTGCCCGGCTCTGGCTGCTGGCACCCTCCTCCCCTCCGTCTCCTGCTCCTGCCGGCCTCGGGCACGGCCTCGGCCCGTGGGGCAGTCTCCTCCAGCAGGGGGCAGCCGTAATCCTTTTACCCCCGACCTCCCCATCCAGGACCCGGCCCCACACCAAGACCCTAGGGGCCACTCCTCCGGGAGCCAGGCCCACTCCGGACTCCCCCGGGGTCTCAGACCCGGCCTAGCAGGACTGCCTAGAGCCCCTCCCTCAGACATCCCACTCAAACGCGGCCCACAGAGGGCCCCATTGTCCCCGGGTACCCTCCCCCCCACCCTCCCCCAAGAGGGACCCACCCTCCTCAGGAACGCTCCCCCCTCGGGACCTCTCCCCCTCAGGGACTCTCCCCCCTCAGGGACCCTCTCCCCCTCGGGACCCTCTCCCCCTCGGGACCCTCCCCCCTCAGGGGCCCTCTCCCCCTCGGGACCCTTCCCCCCCTTGAGACCCTCCCCCTTCAGGGACCCGGACCCTTCCCTCCTCACGAACTCCCCTCACGGACCCTCCCCACCACATTCCCCCCACCGCTGTGGAAACCTCCGCTGGAGACACCTTCGCTCCTCCTCTCCCGGGCCTCCTCGCTTCCCGCCCCCGGCAGCGGCGTCGCGCTAGGACCCGGGCGGCCCCAAGCCGGCCAGGCCCCCTGCCTTGCTCTGGCCCCGCCCCTCGGCCCCTCCCCTGCCGCTTGGCACCGACTCTGCCGCTGGACATCTGGCCCCGCCCCAGGACCCGCCCATCATCAAGCTCCGCCCTCAAGGCGTGGTCCCGCCCCTCTGGGCCCCCGCTCCCAGCACAAAGTCCAGGGGTGGTCTCCTGCTGCGGCCCGGCACCGAGGGGCGGCCGAGCCGGGCGGGAAGCGGAGGGGGCTAGGGGTCCGGGCGCGGCCAGCCAGGTGCCTGTGCGCGGGGAAGACAGGTTGGGGGGGAACCAGAAGTTCCAACAGTCTGAAACGCGACCTACTGCCTTAATCTCAGACATTTGCTTTTATTTTTAAACTCACTTTTCTGACGTGACAACTCTTTCTGGATCCTAAATAATTAAAACAAAGCCGAACGCGGTGGCGCACGCCTGTCATCCCAGCGCTGGGGAGGCCGAGGCAGGAGGATGGCGAGTTCAAACCAGCCTCAGCAAAAGCCGCAGCAAAAGCAAGGAGCTAAGCAACTCAGTGAGACCCTGTCTCTAAACAAAATACATGTGGCTCAGTGGACGAATGCCCCTGAGTTCAATCCCCAGTGCCAAATAATGATAATAATATGAACAAACAAATGCAGCAAATCTGAAGCTCTCTGCAAGGATCTGGTACTGTACTTTTTATGGACTCGCCCATTCTAGGCATTCCGTGTCATCTGGATCATGGCCTTCTATGACTGGCTCCTTTCAGGAGGCGTGTTCCAGCCGGAGTGGGTACTCTGGGTAGAGCTGGGCTTGCGGGGCTTTACTCCGTGATAGGAATGGACTCCGTTTTGTGTGTCCATTCATCAGTTTGTGGACTTTGGGTGGCTTCCTCCTCTATGAACGTGCAGGTGTGAGTTTTTGGGCAGTCATGTTTTCCTTTCTCGTGTATCAAGGAGTACAATTACTGGGTCATATGGTAACTTTATGTTTAACTCTCGGAGAAACTGCCAGATTGTTTTCCAATGACTGCATCATTTTATAGTCCCTTCAGCAATGTATCAGGATTCTCATCTCTCCAAATCTTTGCCAATACTTGTAATCATGTGATTATTTTTAATTTTAGCCCTCCTAGTGGGTGTGAAGTGGTATTGCACTGTGGTTTTGATTTTCATTTCCTTGTTAATAATGCTGACCCTGATCATATGCTTATTGGTCATCTGTATGTCTTTGAAAAAAAATGCCTATTCAGATAAATTTGACTATTTGACTTTTTTATATTCATTTTTTAGTTGTAGGTGGACACAATACCTTTATTCATTTATTTTTATGTGGTGCTGAGGATCGAACCAAGGGCCTTGTACAAGCTAGGTGAGCGTTCTACACTGAGCCACAACCCCAGCCCTGGACTGTTTGTCCTTTTATTGATGAGTTGTGGGAGTTCTTCATATATGCTAGTTACAGTCTCTTATCAAATATATATCTTGCAAATATTTTCTTCCCACTTTTTGGGTTATGGATTGTCTTTTCACTTTCTTGATGATGTCTTTTAAAACATAATCCGATTTGTTTGTTTCTCTTGTTGGTCTTGCTTTCAGTCCTTTTTTTCTAGTTCCTTAAAGTGTACAGTTAGGATATTGTTGGTGGTGGTGGTGTTGTTTTGGAGTACCAGAGATTGAACTCAGGAGCACTCAACCACTGAGCCACATCCCCAGCCCTATTTCTATTTTGTATTTTATTTAAAGACAGGTTCTCACTGAGTTGCTTAGCACCTTGATCTTGCTGAAGCTGGCTTTGAACTTGTGATCCTCCTTTCCCCAGCCGCTGGGATTATAGGTGTGTGCCACCTTGCCCTGTTTACAGTTACATTACTGACTTGAGATTTTTTAAAAATAGGCATTTATAGCTATACAATTCACTGTTAAGTACTGCCCTTGCTATCTCCCATACATTTTGGGGGTTTGTTTTTTGTTTTTGGTACTGGGGATTGAACCCAGAGGCACTTTACCACTGAGTCATATCTTCAGTCCTTTTTATTTTATTTTGAGTCAGCATTTTGCTAAATTGCCCAGACTAGCCCTGAACTTGAAATTCTCCTGCCTCAGGCCTCCCAAATTGCTGGGATTACAGGCTTGTACCATGGTACCTGGCTCCATAAATTTTGATATGTCATGCTTTCAGTTTCATTTATCTCAAAGTATTTTTAAAATTTCTGTTGATTCTTTAATCTCATTTTTTTTACTTTTTTTCTTTTAACATTTTTTTTTAGTTGTCGGTGGACCTTTATTTTATTTATTTATATGTGGTGCTGAGAATCGAACCCAGGGCCTCACATGTAATAGCAAACATTACCACTGAGCCACAACCCCAGCCCCATCTCATTGGTTATTTAAGCGTGCTTTTAGTTTCCACAAATTAGTGAATTTTCCAGGTTTCTTTCTGTTTTTATTTCTGGTTTCATTCCATTATGTTCAGAGACAGTACTTTTATTTCAATCTTTTTAAATTTATTGAGACTTTTTTCCCCCTCATATGTGGCCTACCCTGGAGAATGTTCGATGTGCATTGGAGAAGAATGTGTCTTCTGCCATTGTTGGGCGGAATGCCCCATGTCTGTTAGGTCTATTTTTCTTCTCTTTTCTGTTCCCATTACTGAAAGTGAGTATTAAACTCTACAAGTCTTAATGTAAAAATTGTCTATTTTCCCCTTCAATTTTTTCTTCTTCTCCTCTTCGTCCTCCTCCTCCTCCTCTCCCCTTCCTCCTCTTCCTTCTACCTTCTACTGGGGGTTGAACCAATGATGTCCTTCTTTGCCTTTTATAACAATTTTTATTTAAAATATATTTTATCTGATATTAGTATAGTTACCCAGCTCTATTTTGGTAAGGATTTGCATGGAATATCTTTTTTTCCATTCTTTCATCTTCAATCTATTTGTGACTTTTAATATAAAATGAGTCTCGATGTATTGAGTCTTTTTTCAAAAATTCATTCTGCCAGTCTTTGCCTGTTGATTAGAGATTTCAATGCATTTTTTAAAAAAATTCCTAATAAGAGCCAGGTATGGAGGCACACATCCGTAATCCCAGCAGCTCAGGAGGCTAATGTAGGAGGATCACGAGTTCAAAGCCAGCCTCAACAATTTAGCAAGGCCCTAAGCAACTCAGCAAGACCCTGTCTCTAAATAAAACATTTTTTAAAAAGGACTGGGGGGCTGAGTCTGTGGCTCAGCGGTAGTGCACTTGCCTGGCATGTATGAGTCACTGGGTTCGATTCTCAGTACTGCACATAAATAAATAAAAAATAAAGGTCTATCAACAACTAAAAAAGAGATGCACACCTGCTGTTGAATCTCTCTGGGGTATATAGACCAGCTCTGTTAATTACATAATCCATTCCCTGTGCCACTGGTCCTTCTGGACCTGGGTCAGCTACCCCCCTGCCCGGGTCCCTGTGGTTCTTGCGCTGTATGTTCTGGTGCGTACTTTCTGTGACTTGCACCCTTGGTGGTCATAGAGTCTCCTTCTTTATAGTGCTTTATCTGGAATTCAACTTGTACCAAAACTCAGGTTGAGCCATTTCCTCTGTGGAAGTTGGCCAAGGTCTGTCCCATCTCCCTCACCCTTTTGGCCCAGTGACCTACATGGGTCATTTTCCCAGAGGACAACTACCTCCAGTTTGTACAGAGCCTGTGAATTAAGAACAGGTTTTACATTTTCAAAGGGTTGAAAAAAATCAAAACAAGAATACTGTTTCATAACACATGAAAAGTACATGAAATTCAAAAATTAGGGAACATAAATAAAGTCTTATTGCCACATATCCTTAGTCATTTACTTCCAAATGACTGGTTTTCTTTGGCTGCTTTTGCAGAACAGCAAAAGAACAGCAGACTTGCAACAGAGACCATGTGGCCAGCCAAGTGAGAAATATTTACCAATTGACCCTTTACAGAAAATGTTCTCCAACCCCTGGTTTCTAGAAACATGTCGAAAAAGTCTGCTAGGTAATGGGAAGCTCTTGATTAGGGACTAACCATGGAATGATTGGACTGTCAGAGAGTTTTCCTATTTCTCACTTGTCTGTATTTCCAGTCTTTCCCTATAGTAAGTGTGTCCTATTTTTATGACAATATCAGCAAAGTGGAAGTTTTCACTAAAATTGCATATTATCAAAACCTTGCTGCACTCTACCTCCTTAGCTCTGCACCTCCTCAGGGACTCTCCCCCAAACAGGAGTCATCTGAAGGTGCTCTCCTCCAGAACTCATGGAGAATGGGCTCCTAGGCCCCCACATGAGGGTCCAGGAGTGTAAAGAAATGAGTCTGGGCCTCTTAGGGTACATGGCAGGGCCCAACCTGCATCCCCTATTCAGGTAGTCTGTGCATGGCCCTGGGCTAGGTGAGGCTCTGCGTGTTGCAACACTGACCCCCTAGGGGGTCCTACCAAGTGGGCTCATCTCTCTCCACCGGAGGCCCAGCTCACTCCTCCCCTTCATAGACCAGAAGGGCCACCTTGGCCACCTGAGAGTCCTGCCACTGGGAAACCCTTCTTTCTTGGGTGAGAGGTCAGTGGCTCAGTACAGT